TAACCAGTGTCGTATTACTACAGTCATTGCAAGTACAAGTATTTGTAAACAATTTTCTACGTAAGATACCAAATTTGTATTGGCCGGATACCATCAACAACAGCCTACAATGAGAGAGAACAAACCAGCCTTCAGCTGAAAAGGAAATTAGGAAAAGGCAATGGAGATGGATAGGACATTTATTGTGGAACTCACCAAACTGCATCACGACTGCAAGCGCTAACTTGGAATAGTGAAGGGAAACAGAAGGGAGGAAGGCCAAATAACACACTGGGTCGAGAATTGGATGCAGACATGAAAAGAATGAACAGTAACTGGAAAGGATTGCTCAGGATAGAGTTGCATGGAAGATGCGAGTAGGTGGCCTAGGCTCCTAGACGAGGGGTAATAGGCGTAAGTAAGTAGGTTACCTTACTAAAGGTTGTTTTCGTTGAGAAATCTTATTTAACTAGTAGTGTCGCAATTTATTTATCTCAATATCCCATATAATTTTAAAAAAATTAATATGTCAAATCCCAACTGATTGATCATATATTCTAATTATTAAATTATCATACGAATTTTATTCATATTAGAGGTCAATCTGCATATGATTTTCAAATCATTCCTATATTCCTGGTTTTTGGGAATATATCCAAAAAAGTCACTTTAGTAAATATCATACATTCTTCTTGGTGAAAACAATTGTATCATAGAAAAATAATACAATGTGGATAAAATGGCAAGCAATTAGTTTAAGTGAATCTGGTCACACATAGTAAAGTAAATGGCCTGGTTATTCATTTTAACCAGCAAAAAATATACAGTTTACAATTATATACTATATGTGTAAGTATTTTAAAATTTGGCTCTGAAGAAAACGTTTTAAATCATTTTCCTCTTTACAAAACATCATGTATTTAAATTGAAAAGTTTTGGTGTATAATTAAAAAAACATAAATCTTTTGGATTTTCAAATTGCTCGGGTTCCAAGAGTAAATTGTTAAAAGAGACTATCTTTAGACCCAAATGATATTTAGTTAAAGAAGCGAATTAGTCAATTGGTTGTGGTATTTCTTCACGTTTCAGCTTCGTACAGTAGAACTGTTTTGACGATCGTAGTGAAGACTGTGATTTTGATATTAATCAACAGTTTTTTCAAGTTCCATATGCTCTTCAACAGTAGGAATGCTGCTATTGCTTTTCCAATCCTTACCTTTACGTCTACATTAAATTCTCCTTGTTCACCAATGATGCTACCCAGGTACGTGAAAGTTGCCATCTCTTACAGAGTGTCTTCATCATGTGTGATTGGGTTGTTTTCCTCCGTGTTGTATTTGAGGATCTTACTTTATCCATTGTGTATGTTGAGGCCTACTGCTGCAGAGGCTGCTGCTACATTGTTTGTCTCAACCTGGATTTGTTGGTGTGTATATGATAGAAGAGCTAGTTCATCTGCGAAGTCCGAACTGTCTAGATAGTGTTTGGAAAAGGAAAGTTTTTTTATTGTGATAACTACGAACGCATTTATCGATTGCGTATAATGCGAAAATTTTAATTCGTTTCTGATTTGGATCACGAGCAGCGTTATCATCGATAAAAGCTTGAATAAATTCTTCATAAAATGTTTTTTGTATGGATAAGTTAATCGTAAGTATTAAATAAATAGTGGATTCTACAACAGTAAAATTATTTTCTACGAACTTGAATTTCGTTAAGATGATCAAACTTGGACGATAGTTTGTTAAATTCACGAACAAAGATCGAATTCACTGTAGTAGTAGGAAACTGAATGTTCAATTTTCTTTACAAGGAGAATTATATTATTTGATATACAGGTATTTCATTAATGACTAGTGGTTTGAGCTTAATGTGCAACCATTACAAAACCTAAATTTCTTATTATAACTATTGATTTCAATATACAAGTAACAGATGATTAATCAGTCATTTTTATAACGTTTACTCTTTATTATCTTCTGTAATGAAAGATACTACATAACTAAGTGGTTTTATTTAACACGATTTGTAAATATTAACAGCTAATCCAGAGATCATGTTTACTTTTACTATAAATTAGTTCAGAGACTATCCTTATATACCAAACCATGTACTTCGTCTTTGAAAACTAACAGTGACTGTAAATCCTAAACACTTTTCTGACGCTAACAATATAGGCTCCATTTGTTTTTAATTTTCGATACTACTGCCACTGTTGTTGCTACTAAATCTAATTTACCATCTTACATAAACACGTATACAAATACAAACCCCAATAATTGAAAGAATAGATTAACTGACTGTATATCATCCATACCAAGGTATCATTTAAGGCTGTCAAAAAAAATATTACAAAAACTCCACTGTTCATCTTAGTTTTAATAACTTAGTCTTTGATCCCTCAACTGAACTGGAATTGAATGATTTCCCAAATAAATTCGTTCAAAATATTTGAAAAATCATTCTCTCTCTCCTACTTTCTCTCTGAATGAAGGCAACACATGATTTATGTAACGCTTAACGAAAAAAATCAATGACGTTCGCCTACACTTGTTGTTAAGCATGAGATATAAAGCGTATCTGTAAACGTTTTACTTATTCAAACAATCCGAAAACACAAGTAATGAAGTTTTTTTTTACTTCAGTTTGTATTATGTAAAATAATACTGTTCATAATACGAAACAACATTTTTTGTCAAATTAATTTCTCTTTTGAAACAGGATCACTAGTTGCTTTATCCTATGACTGAAGGTGATTCTTAAAATCCTACTGTAACTAGAATTTTTTCTCAACTTTTATTCTTGTCTTTATAAAAATAAAACTCATTATAATTTGTTTTTGATCATTATGCGTAGATGAAAAAACACTAGATCTGCAACCTTTCATACTTAGTTTTTAAAGACTAAATAGGGAGATTACATATATATTTTAGAGTAGTGATAGTTTTGATGCGTATGCAGTCGTTCCTATCATCACAATTAATAACAGCAAACTTCATAAAAGTCTCTTAACAAAGAAGTACGCTAAATATGTAAAATTTTGATGATTTTCTGATTTCATATACCTCAAATTTTCATAGACGGTCAGGCAATGTTTAAAGAATCCTCACATAAACAATTGCCTGATATACTAACAAGTTTTGTTATTATTACATAGAGTAAATGAGTGTTACGCAAAGGATAGATCCTTATTATATAGCATTCGAGAAAATGATGTGTTCAAAAGGAAACGAACTATTACACATAATTCCATTCAATTTACAAACTATGATTCGAAGTTTAGTTGAAAAAATATATGATTAACACTCTGTCGTTCTTTGATTCTTTCAGCTATTCTTAGTTTATAATTTTATCTATCATTTATTAAACAAACTCGTAATTCAGAGTTATTTCCACATGTTATATATAATTGATTTCATTGATGCGTTTAAGCCACATAAACAATAAAAGAAAATTTACTTAGTCTAATATCAGAAATTGGTAACAGATATTTTGACGAATGAGTTTTTGAAAAGATTAATTTCATCATCATTTAATCTGTCCCGCATACGGGTTCGTGAAACTTTATATATATATATATATATATATATATATATATATATATATATGGCCTTAATCAATGTAATCGGTGGAACTAAGATTTGTCCAAACACAATTTAATGAGGCAATTTCTATATAGTCTTCTTATTACACCATCGAAATTTATCAAAAGGGGCCAATTGATTAAAATTACTTAAAAGAAAACTCCCTGCAAATACTATTAAAATGTTAGATGAATTTGCCAATCATAAATGCAAAATTGTATCGGAACGCGTGAAACTGAACTTTTATAAATCTTGTTTATCGAGTCACATATTCCCAAATCGACTATATAAGAATTTACATTCAAGTAAATTACAACCGAATATTTCAAATCTCATTCTTCAACTGTCGAGATCTTATATAAATAATTTCCATGATAAATTGATCAATTTAATTGAATTGCACACTTAAGCATTGCCTATATGACAAGACTGTTTACTCTTTCACTTACTGAACATTATCGGATATCTGTGTGACGGCGCACTTTATGAATTGATTGATTCCATCAAAATTTTCGGCATACAGGAAACAAACTGTGAAATATATCATGATTCAGGGTGAATATATCGTTGTATTATATCAAATAAAAACTACTTTGATGAACATTTCACTGTCTAGGTAAATTCAAAAATTAAGAATATATTATTTACTATTATATTCTTACTCATTTCATCTTACTACATTATGTTTTCTTATTTGATAAAGCGCTGATTCTCTCTGAAACCAGATTTATCAGGGCAATAAATTGTCTAATATACCCTTCATATGCATGCAGATCATGAACATGTTAATCCACATTCAAATTTTGATTAGTTAATCTTTTTTTTCAATTATTATTTATTAATCCCACATTAACTGCATTTATTCGAGGGAATAGTTACAGTGTATAAATTTACACACATATATATTAACATTAATGTATTGACATAAGTATGTCTATTTCTGTAGTTAATCGAATCAGAATTAAGCATATTGTATAGCAAATATAGTTACAGGTAGATAGTATTTTTCAAGGTTTAATAAATAAATGAAAATTTTCACTTGTCTTTTTACTGATTGGCTAATAATGTTAAGTAAAATCTTCTTTGTGTATATAAAAGCTTTATCGAAGGTAAATGTTGTTGTATTCACGTTTCTTTTCCTGACTTGTATTGTCTTGTTATTTGGTAATAATGTTATAATTAATAATTAGAGAACATAATCTACACTTCATCAAGTGGAATAGCGTCATGTTTGTAAAACTACTTCAGTTATATAAGTATTTGACTGTAACGTTTTCAAAATGTCTGTGAAACCGAACGATTTGGATTAGAAAAGTGTAGGACAATTCTGATATGTGCTTTTAAGTTACTAGTTACATTGACCAAATTACATGGTGCTCATATAAATATTACATATTACTGATCAATAAAAATATGACATGATGATGATATTAGAACATGTCAACAGATCCAAACTTATATAATGTGAATTTAGCATCTAAACGAACAACAATGCCTTCAACACCTTGCTTTTTTGGTGAAACTTGTCAAAATTTTCATCAACAAACTAGTGACAGTGGTAATGACAATAAAACTAATGATAAGGAAAATTATGGCCACAACAAAAATGAATCAGAAATGATTGAATCGAGTGAAATGGATTTAATTTACACTCAAACAGATAATGATAATCTCACACCATCTATAATACTTACCTCTGATGATACTGATTGGAAACCATGTGAACAAGGTAGTATTTCGAGTATGGAATCTATATCTAATTCACCAAGTCCTAGGACTTCCTATAATTCCTTACTACATTGGGGTATTAATAATGCACAAGATGAAAGAGGTAAGTATGATTCTAATCAATTATATGATATATACGAAAATTCGTCAATATTAGAACGAATAGTTTGACAATAATATGATTGTTAGCTGTGTATTACTAAGACAGGGATTTCTTCTAGTTTCATATTCTGGCTGATAAGACGTTGAGATCCACTGGAAATCAGTTAACACTAGTTGGCTATTTTATTCAAATGTATAACTACTCTATAGTGTTTATCTATGAACCCCCATGGGATCAAACTTAGAACGTTTATCTTGTACGCGATGAACTCATCGTATTTTTAAGTTGAAACTAAATGATTTCTTCACATTTTAATACGAGTAAACCCTAATTACAATCTTAAATTCATAGTACTAACTTTCATCTGTACTGTCCATGTAACACAGAAAATCTTATGAGTAGCTTAGATTTTAAATATTTGCCATCAATGTTCATGATTTTTGTATACTGTTGTATTACTAGGAACTATATATATAGGTATGTGGCTTTGAGTTCCCAATAAATAATCATCAGTTAGTTGAACCTTCCTATTGCATAGAAATAGATAAAAAGATATTGCCATCATACTTGTTGGATTTTTTGAGTTACTGTCAATCTCAGAAGCTGTCAAATTTTCGCCCTTTATTTTAGTGGTGGAGTTTCAAAATTCTGCTTTCGATGTTTAGTTCGGAAATGAAAGGTAAATTCTTATGATTTAGGTCAAGGTTACATGTCAAAAAATCCTACTGATCAGTGGTGGTTTGTTCACACTAGTATCATGTCAAAAATCATATGTATGGATATTTTTCTCTTGTTATATTTCTTAATCTGATGTGGTTGTTTAATGTACACACTATCATGCATGAAATGCAACTATTTATCTTCTCTAATAGTGAAGAAAAAAAACGGTGCATCTTGTCTGATTTGCACTGCAAATTGTATTTACCCTCAAGGACAAAAACGTGTGTAAACACATTTGTGATTAAGTGAGTAAACAAATATTAAGCAACACAAGAATTAGGACGTACTCATCTCCTGAAATAGCCAATCCTACTGCACCTGAATTTAATTACATTTTCGTTTTCCAGGTTATTACTATTAAGTAATGGTTTTTATTTATTCAACAAGTAATGACTACTGGGACTCAGTAGACTAGTTTATTGCAACCCACCATTTGGAATGATCTTACAAGGGCTATAGTCTCATTGCGGACATACATACACTAGGATCTGCGAACATCTAAGTTATATATCCTAGGTAAGATGAATTGGTGTTCGTGCGTTTTGATGCTAGTTGTTCCTTGTTTCTCTTTCGACAGTTGGCAATGGAAATAAATTGTTGGGAAAAATGGTGCCAACCAATTTTTTAACTGTTATTGTTGTTGCCGAATTCCTGAAACTAATAATTTACTATACATTATGGTTTCCAATTAAAAATGTTGAAATAATTGAAGTGAAAGATTCAATCTTAATATCGATGAAATCAATAGCCCAAATTATTAGCTACATATACACCAGAATCATTAATTCCTCTGTCATATTTTACTTTTCGCATTAAGTTTAACAATGACTTGATGTAACTGATTTTACTGGTAAGATACAAACTAAAGTTGTTAAAACTAGGTCTTGGCAACATTTTAACACTCTGTCCAAACATTTTAGATTTCCGTAGCCTTAACAGTATGTTTTCACTTCAATAATTAATGCTATTAATCCTCAATAAACATTAACCACATTATTCATGAAACTTTTAGTTCTTCTTGATGACTCATATATCTAACGTGTGAATCATGTTTTTCTGTTCATTTCTTTTAATATTCTAACTCTTCTTTTAATGATTTTTACTAAGGTCATCAACTAATTTAATATTAATTCTTCGTTTATTGGCTCGATTGAACATTTAATCATTTCTATGTTTTCCAAGGTCATAGGAGAAAATATCTGGTATTTTAAATGAAGAAATAAAAAAAAATCAATTAGCATGGTCGAATTGGCCTTGACAGTAGATGTAAATATTGACTTAATACATAGTGGGTATTATAACTACAATTTAGATTGTTTACAAACAAAATCAGTAACAATAAAGGATAACAATTTCACTTAGTGAAAATTTATTCAGAACATAATAGATATGATATTTTCATTATTGAATTCTTGGGTTGATTTGCTTATTGTTTATGTTAATAACTGTTAAATAGTAGATTCATCAGTTGTTTATTTGTCCAAGTCTATTGATTTACTATGAAAATAATATTGAACTATAATTCTCATACGTGTAATTAATCTTATTTGTATTACGTAATAGGCTATAAAATGATAGGATATTTATTTGGCCTGGTTAACTAATTATGTATACATACATATATATATTAACTGTTTTGTATGCCTTTTTACGTAAGTTATATGTATGGATTTCATTCTTTTACTTCTATATCAAATGTGTGGACGTAAATCAATAGTGTGCCTAATCAACTACATAGTTATGTTAATATACAATGTGATTATGCAATATCGTTGTAATGATTCAATTTTTAATACAAGAACCATTAGAGAACGCGAATACTGTTTTAAGAATCATAAAATAACCAGGACTAGAATAATGATCTTTATTAGTTTAGCTAATAAAATAAATTTTATGTAGTATTCGTCAGAGATTTATCTCATTTAGACTACTAGTAAAAATCAGGAAAAACTAGACAGTTTCAGTTTAGTATGGGACCCCGACTTGGCTAGAAATAAGACTTGAAACCTTCCGGTTTCTGGACGAATGCCAAACTATTAAATCCATTACTCTGGCGTCCAATAATGCAATCGCGAATTCAGTTGATGATCATCCGTTTCTACTAATTTCACTACCAACATTTCTGAACTTTACCACTAATGAATTCTCCTTTTGATAAATGATGAGAATTTACGAAAATTTCATGTGCTTCTTTTCTTTCAAACTGTGTTGTGTTAGTAAACTCATATACATCAAACATTTTCTAATTTTGATTATCACGAACGCTATTCGTACATTGATTTCTCACTAGGGGAACTACGTAAATAAAACTGACAATTTAAACATTTAAGTTGTGTATGTTTTGCTGTGTGATACGCAAACCTGTGAGCAATTAGATTCTTTATTATTACTTTTTGATACACTGGCTTTAACACATACTTGTGAATACATTGGAGGTAACAACATACTGAGCGATAAAGGAAGCTATTTGGTAGAGAGAGATGACCTTCACAGTTTGATTAATCTCAGACATTTCATTACTAGTACTTTTATGATTATCCTCAAAATATTACCATGTTTGAAGCCTAGTTTTCGGAAATGTCACTTCATATTCACAGCACTTTAATACACATTTTAATTTAAATATATCTCGGTGAACATTATCGCTTGTGTTAAATTTGTTCAATAATGTTTAATTTGAATTTCAGAACGGCTGGATTTTGTCAAAAATTTGTAAAACTATTCCTGTAACTTACTGAAAATGTATTTATCTTAAAATGCTATTGAAACTTATTCTTTCTGTTTCAATCAGGGCATTGTATAGTTCATTTTATTTTTTATTATCGATTTTTTTCCTATAATATGTGTCGTAAATCTACCGTGTTCGTGTTGTCCCTTAGTGTAAACAGTTGAAAATGAATCATGTGTAATCGATACAAACCTGATGAAACCAGATTTGTTTAGTTTATTATGGTTTGATATAATATGGATTATTCTTTCCCCTCGATAGTCTTTATGATTTACTATTAACTATAAATTTAACTTACCTAATATGATTCAATTTCCTTGAATGAAATTTGTGCCTACAAATTATCAATAAATAAATATTGACTGATGCTTACTGATGCCTGTCACTCACAGTGGAGCATAGGTCGCCGACCAGCATTCTCCAACCCACTCTATCCTAGGCCTTCCTTTCTACTTCTATCCAATCGTTGATCATTTTTCTCATGTCTGTCTCCATTTCTCAGCGTATTGTGTCCTTTGGTCTTCCTCTCCTCCTTTGACCTTGAGGATTCCATGTGAGGGCTTGCGTCGTGACTCAGTTGGGTGCTTTCCTCCGCCTGGAGTCCCTCTTGTGCTACTGCCGGTCCCAAGCCCGTATAAAGGAGGCGGGTTAGCTGTAGGATTGGTGACCCCATCCCATATAAAACTAAATCGCTAAAAAACCCATTTAACTTATGCAAAGTTTAAATTATTAAACAATTTTAAATATATATAATACAAAACAAAAGCGACAAACCTGATAATACATACTTTATTTGTATCAGAAGGGGTTTTGTGGAGATTTTAGAAAATTCAGTTGTTGAGATCATAAATCAATTGAAGCTAGACCACCATAGAAAACCTGAAAGCACTGGATGACCGTTTCGTCCTATTATGGGACTCCTCAGCAGTGCTCATCAACGACCCCGCCTCGTGGGATTCGAACCCACGACCTACTGGTCTCGCGCACGAGCACTTAACCACTAGACCATTGAGCCGGCATCCAACGATGTTATTGTTTAACTTCAAATAATTGTAACATACTTTATTTAATGTATTGAACGTAGATATTTAACAAAGAATATTACTACACTAGACTTTTTTTCTCATCTTCAACAATGAACCGAATTTTCTTCTAATTTAAATGAAACGTTTAATAAGAATTTTCTCGAAATTATTATTGATAAAAAGATTTTTTTCCCGTTTTTTTTAAATTATTTTCAATGACCTCACAAAATACAGTTTTTTATTATTTTGGAATTTCATTAGAATATGCAAAAATTAGTTTAGTTCTAAATGATGGGTGGATAATTTGTACGGTCAATTTATCAATCAAATAAAAATGTATTCATCAACAACGGTCCAAATGAAATCCAGTATTTCAATCATAAATTGTGACCATAAATCGATAATCAGATAAAATCTGTTTCATACATATTTTCTTTTCAAGTACTATAAGGTTTTGAAGAGATTGTTGATTTTCTCATAGCTTGAATCATGAATCGATATTAGCTGGATCACTACTGATGGCCGAT